AAGCTGCGCGAAGACTGGACTCGGAAACGAGAGACTATGCGGACCGACTGTCAATGCGCGCTGGTAGTCAAGACCTACCCCAATGTTCCAACTGTTCTCGGGAACTACGCAGAAGAGCACAACCACCCGCTGGGCAACGCCAACCTCAGATACACTCAAATATCCAAAGAGACACGCGAATACATTGCCGGACTGCTCCGACTGAAAGTATCGCCAAGTCACATTGTATGATTGATGCATCTGTTTCATAGTTCTTGTCTAATTGTCTCTTAGCTTCAACTTGTGCACCAGGGCGTGTACAATCAAGACGATGCCTTCGATAACGATGATGACAGTCCCGCGGCGCGAAACGAGTTCATCCAACTTCAGGATATACGACGAATCGAGAAGGGGATCGAAGCCGAAGCCGTTCGCCTGCATCCAGATGATGGTCAATCGACGTTACGATGGGTCGATAAGCTCCGTCTCAACGGTCAGCTACTTGGTTTCAAAGCAAAATCAGACCCACCTCCACCAAGCTCTGGCCTTCGTCCCGACGTTTTCACTCTGATGCTCCAAAGTAAATGGCAACGCAAGAAATTTCAGCAATACGGCGAACATATTCTCTGTATTGATGCCACACACAACACCACCGTATACGAGCAACTAAATCTGACGACTCTGGTCGTAAGGGATAAGCATGCGCATGGTGTGTTCGATTACTCCTCCACTCATTTATGTACCGTGACTCAGCTGAGCTTGACAGGCATTCCGATCGCCTTTATGCTGGCCTCAAACGGCACGCAAGAAACCATCGCCTATTTTCTGCGGTTAAACCGACTAAACTCCCCCCTCACTATCCCACGCAACATCATGTCCGATTTTGACTACGCTCAACTCAATGCTTGCCTCGCCGAGTATGTCACCGCGTTTTTGCTGCTATGCTGGTGGCACGTCTTGCACGCCTGGCAACAGCACCTGCACATCCCCACATATCCTGCCGTATGGGAGCTGTTGAAGAAATGGATCCGGATGACTGACAGCACAGAATTCAACGCCACATGGGTCAAAATCCGGGCTCTGGCGCCAAACGACTTTGTCAAGTATTTGAGCCAGTACTGGATGGCTGACCATGTTGTCCGTATGTGGTCTGCGGTCTATCGGAAGGAACGGAGTATCTTCGAGGCCTGCGATACGAACATGTTGATTGAGGCGTGGGTTTTCCTCTATTCCTCTCGCTTCGTAATTACTGATGCCCGCGAAAATCCTCAGGTGGCATCATGTGCTTAAAGGGAAGTTTCTTCAGGGTAAACGGAATAGACGCATGGATCATCTGTTGAATACGCTCGTCAACGATGTCCTGCCTTATTATGCACTCAAGCAGCGGCGCCAAGACCTTGGCTTCGAAGGTATTGACATTGAGGTGAAAAAACGTCAAGATATTATCAAGCGGAGCAAGGTGTACACCAAGGACGACATCGTGGTACGTAAATTCTGAATGATGCTTGTATATTGATTAATTGTCTCAATTACAGCACATCGAAGGTGGCAGATATCTTGTCGCCTCCAAATCGGACCCAGCTCGTTCTTATGAGGTCGACATTGCAACCTACACCTGCCCCTGCCTGGATTTCCCCCTCATTTGTTTTTGCAAGCACATCTGCGCGGTGCAAACAATCTTTGAGGATACCACGCCCACTGTCTCGCTCCCCGGATCCGAAGTCCCTGCTGACGAGCTCCGTTCCCAAGGCGACGACCAAGACGGCGACAGATCCGTGATATCAAACGAGAGCATATCAAGCTCTGGCCCGACATCGTCTCCTCTCGTTCCGCCCAAACGTCGAATTCTTACCGTGGTCGCAGAAAAACTAGAGACTTTGTCGGCTCGCCTTCGTCGTCCTCGGAAGAAAGAATATGATCTCCCGATGCTCTCAAGCTTCGAATTGGCGCTCAATGGAATACTTGAGGCTACCGATACTGGCACTGTTCTGCCCTCGGCCCAACACATCAAGCCCAACGTGAACGGGTGGCAACAAACTCAGCGCGCGATGGCGGTACTGCCAAGGGTCAAGACGAAGTCAGTGAAACGCGTGGTGGGCGACGCTGCATACTCGGCTGGCGCCAGTAGCGGATCCAAGGCAAAAAAAGCGAAGACAATGTGCGCAAATGATCCCTCATATCGACGTCTACTCACCGTTTGTACAGGCCCTCCTCGGCCCCCACAATCAATCCTCCAACTCAAGCCCCTCCACAACCCTCGGTTTCCACCCCGCCACAGTTTACCCTCACCTATCCCGTCACGCAGACTCCTTATCCCGTCTATCCTCCCGGTCTGTATCCGTATTCAGCATATTATTATCCCTACAGATATGCTACACATCCTACTCCTACATCTAATTCATAATGTATTACTTTGAATTTACTACTTGTTTCCTGTATACTGTCGATGGCGCTTGTGATTTGACTTGGGTTTCTTCCCTTTAGTTGGTGCCGAGGGATGCCATCATCACGCTCGTCGATCCGGCCGCGATCAAAATTTCCCGATTGGGTTTGACACTTGCGGCGGAAATTGCGGAACTGGGTAAGAGCAGAGAGTGATCATCAGATCGTCATCATGATGCATCATGCCGCATGCGTCCCGAAAAGGCAATCAGCGGCTCGCCTTTCTCCCACCCTCTCCCACCTCGTTCCCAGTCGCTGTCTCTGACGTTCAACGCAATGCATCGCACTGGCACAACTCTACTCAAGTCCAGGAATCTTTCTAAAACCATCATGTCTTCTTATGGAGCCGCATCAATTCCCAGTCCTCCGTCCCTCGATCGTCGGCTGTGGCACTGCTCTTTGGATCTACTGCTGTTTTGCCTTATAGGTAAGTATCCGGGTGTCTGTGCCCATAACGACTTCCATGGCTACGTCGTACGTCACTTCTTTAAATTCTTCACTTGGAGCACTGGCAGGGGACAATATCGATCCTCCCGCCTTGACTCGTTCTTGGTTTCTTTTCGTAGTACGTCCCATGGCCACTCCCAAGTACTTCTTGCTTCGTGTTGTACCATTCCTCACATGAATCACCTGGCATATGTATGCGGTATCCGTGCTATCTGTACCCGTGCTATCGATCTGGTCTACATCTGGCACGGAAGCACTCTTATCTTATTCTCCTATGCACTTGTTTCTGCTAATTTCTACGATCCTTAACACTTGCTGGGCTGAAAAACCCTTCCCGCTGAGACATCTCCCGCCGAAACGAACAGGATCGATCGTCTCACTGATAAATTAGCCATGTAATCCACCTCTCATTCAATACATTACCGATTCAGAGGCGGCCGTCGGTAAATGTGGGCCTTACCCAACTTCAACCCCAGAATCCGCAGCTAACTTGGCTGCGCCAAAAAAAAACAGTCCACACCCCAATAATGCATCGCTGGGGAATCGAACCCCGCTCTCGACCCATCAAATCCGATTGGACATTCCACACGATAGTCATGGGTTCCAGCGCCCCACCAATGCTTGTATCCAACTGACAGCCATGTCGTCGTCAATCTGATTCATGACAAACCTCCAGCACTTTATTGTCAATTTACCGAATCGACCATGGGCCGAACTTCAACTTCGACTTGGGAACTACAACTAGGAGAGATAAAAAGCATTGGGCCATGTAATACTATGCATCGACCCGGTCTCAACCTATCATCTGATGTGGATGTGCATCATATGCGAATTGTGGGTTCCAATACCCCCGCTGCGTACAACCTCCTGTAACGAGGATTTTCAGGACGGACATTCAAATCGAGTTATCTTCCAGCTGACGAAATTCGCGGTCATTAATTTAAATAACCGATGGTGCGTGAAGAATCTTGTGCTTGTACTGGAGAGCCTCATGCATGGAGGGAAAAGTAGAGTGCATATCGCCTAATGCATCGGCGGGGAGTCGAACTCCGATCTTAACTGGGAGAGATAGCTGCTTTTCATGAAGGTTGAGGTTCCAATATCCCACGGTGCAGCCTTCAGCAGTGCGCTCTCGTTTATTCAACTCAACTCATTTCTTCTCTCCATTTGATAAAATGATCTCCCTTATTCAAACGAGCACAAGAGCGCGGTGGGCCGCTTCGCGGCCCACCACTTCGGCTGAGGGATTATCAATTGGTGCTTGAATTGGCGCCGGCCTATGGCTGATAATCCAAGGACTCGCAACTGATCTCGAAGAATGGGCGCTAAAACGTGAGGTCGCATTGTTTGGCATTGTATACACTTTTATAGAGCGGAAATATGGCGTATGAGCTTGTGAGACAGATGTGATTGATAAAGCGGGGCCAGCCGTTGATGCGAAAGATGGAAACCAAAGTTGTGGATTGATACTGTACAATTACATTCAATTCGGCAGGGGGTGTGACGCGTGACATTTTGAACATATTCGTCAGTTCGTCAACCCCGGGGAGTGACCGTGACACACGTAAAATTTCGTCAGTATGGAGATTTCAGATAAAATTCAACACACATGATAACTCAACTTTAGGTGGGCCTAGGAAGCGAGCATTCAAAGGCTGAACCAGATCTTTGATAAAGAACAAAAACTTGCAATTCTTTTCACATATTTCACCCCTGGACAGCAGAATTCTGCATTTCATGAAAGAAATCCGTGGAAATGGGCACAAACTACACCAGAAGGCAGCTGTGGCAAAGAAAAATTAAGAGATGTGGCCCATGAAGAAAATTTTGAAAATACCGTGACACCCGGACATATTCGTCAACCGCCGCCGTGACCCGTGACACCGACCAAAGTTCGGCGCCGTCAACCCCCTCCGTGACGCGTGACTGCCGAATTGAATGTAATTCTACAGTAGACCCCAAAGCGGAGTTTGAAATGGCTTCGGACAGACACGCATAATCTTATAAAGAGAGTAACTAGGAGTCTCAGGCACTAAATAAATGCCGGGGTCCAAATTACTTCCATGGGCAAAACTTCAACCCAGAAATCGTAACTACTCAAAGTAGCGACAAAAATACAAGCTAACAGCTCATGCATCGACGGGGAGCCGAACCCCGCTCTCGGCCCATTAATCCCGAGGCGAATCTATGATGAAGAGGCCGTGGGCTGCCTCTGCCCCATCAATGCTTGCATCTATTCACTCACGATACTTCAAGTTTCTGTGCTCGCTGACATGCTCAGTGAGTTGGGCAGACACAAACTGAGGATTATGTGCGTTTTTTTTTTTTTTTCACCTTGTCGCATAACACGATGACAGAAAATAGAACCTCATGACAAATTTAAACTACATTATGTATCAGCGGAGCATAGCCCATAAGTTCTCTTGGATATTTCCAATATGGAGGAAGAGGCTGCGGGCTGCCCATGCACCACTAATTGTCTCAACGCTCGTTCATGTAATCCGATTCGTTTTCTCTACTGTCTCAAAAACCCTCAGTGCTCGATAGAATTATCAAGTCGGCAGCTGTGGTGCTGACTTAAACTTGGGGATCACAACTAGAAGCGAGAAAGAATGGAGATTGCTTACTCCGCATGCCTCAGCGGGGAGTTGAACCATGCTCTCAGTCATCAACCGTAAGGAGGAGATCTGCCCATGGGCCACAATGCTTGTATCCGACTCGGAACGAGGATGCGCTTAAGTACGGGGTTCCGATTCACTTCCATTTACATGTGGCTGGAAAAAATTCTCAAGGCGAATTCGACACCTGCATCGAATTTGTAGTCCATAGGTGGGGGAAGCGGAAGAGATGTCAAACACCCGGAGCACAGGCTGCGCAGCTGTCGTGACAAATCAGAGAGAGATAAATATATCGATTGTTAGTGTCGGAAAAATCGAATTTGGCAGATCAGGCATCGATCAGGGTTTATAAGTGATTTTTGAACCTTATCAGCCTGATGGAGTCTGATCATGGGTGATCAGCTTAAATCAGGCTCACTGACCGAGCCTGGCTGAGCCTGACCAGGAAGCCTCAGGCTGATAGTTATCAAAAACCACCAATAACCTATGATCAGGACATGTCACTCAAATTTGGTTTTTCCGACAAGCAGACTACCTCGCTGCGCACGATTAGCGCTCTTGGGCTGTATGTTGCTGGGCATCGCCCCTACACCAGCGCGCCAAACGATCCCATCCCACTACGTTCACGTGCATGTGAGTGGCAGTCAGGTTGGCACTCGCACCCAAATCAGCTCGAAAAAAATATGGCCGCGTTATTCATCGTCGTCGCGAATACGATTATGATCAAAAACAAAAGAGAGAAGACAAAAAAGAGGAAGAAGAAAAAATAAAATGGAACGCATCCCCGCCCAAGCGAGCCTTGTGAGCCTCGCTCAACATAATTCGATGCAGCCTGTATGTGGTGCGGGGGAGTGGGATGTGAGGTGCATTATTCCCGCGGGCGAGAAGTACTTGTATGAGCAGCCTCTCCTCAGCCGCATTCTGTTTACTCTGCGACCACATAAATAAAATTTAGCGCCTTGCCTGCAGAGCGCGCGCTGTCCGGATTCCAGACCTGACACCCACCACGCGCAGTAGACGCGCATCACCTCGCGCATCACCTCGCGCAGCTGGGAGTGGAAGGCCTTGAAGCGCTGTTGAGGCATCATCTCTGTGCGGAGGGTTTTCACGGATAACGCTCGGTGCTCACGAAGGTGGTATGAGATGAGGAAACGCGGAGCACATGCAGGGATGGGCGAGAAGCACTTCGCCTCTGTGATACTTGGGCCTGCTGCTGACGGGATAGAAGGCGCTTGCTTGGGGAGAATTGGCGCGCGTCATCTGCTGCCACTACACAACATCGTTCCCCGAATGCTGAGCCCGAGCTCGACCGACGCGTTGCCCAGGCGCGAGCCGGAGGCGGCGCGAGGGCACATCCTCTCGCCGGGGCCACGAGGCTCGGCTCCCGGAGTCGAGGACGCAAGGCTTAGGGATGGCGAGGTCAGGTATCCTGTAAGGATCGCGCGCGATGGGACATGCAGCCTGCCAGCGAGTACCGAGTGAAAGCGAGGCCGATACGTGGTGAAGTTATTTCGTTTTCGAGATTCTTGTGTGCAGCGAGGCTTCAGTGAGACCTGTGTAAATGATAAGAGACTCTGCCCGCGTTGGCGCAGTCAAATATAAGGTGTACACACCGTCCCAGAGCTCAATATCTCCATTCTTGCGTCGTTTGCGAGCCCAGATTCAATGTTCTTTCCAATCGTCAGTTGGGATTCTATAGGTTACGACGCGAGTGGCGTCCCGTGTTGTAAGTGGTGGGCACGCTATCCCGACGCAGCCCGTAAACGCGCCGAGCGCGTAGTCCCGCTCATGTCCGTCCGATATGATTTCTCAGTTTGAGTACGCCTGCGATACAAATCCAGCGAAGAAGGTTCAGAAACCACAGTTGCATTCCGTCAGTGGATAATTCTCAGATTGAGAGCCTAGCAGCCCAGTCTGAGCCAGAAAATCCGAAGATGGGCGCGATAACAGAAAGGTTTGGTGGCGATGCAGCCACGGATCATCAATTGGTGCGTCTTGCTCTGAACGCTTATCTCGACTTGCGAGCCAATTAATTAATTAACCGTTCTTTAACGTACGAAACCTGTGCCAATTCCCCATGTAGGTTCATCCCCATTTTGCATCGTCTCTCCCTCTTCTCCTCTCGTCGTTCAATAATGAACTCACTTCTCCATTCGTATGGGCACGGGGCATGTTTTCCATCACTGCGGCCTACGGAAACTTCGCCGCAACTGCCAAGGACTCTACTGAAAATTTCGACCACGGCACGAGGGCAGACTGGCTCCGTTTCAGTCCAACCGGTGCTCCGTTTGAATGAGAAATTCAACCCAATAAATGAAGGCATGCTGGTCTGGTGCTTCAAGAGTTGAAAGTTTCAATTACGGTGCTCGTCCTGCTGACCTCCCCGCAGCTCTTCGCAGCAATTGCTGCCTACGCCGCAGACCTATCTACCGAAGATTTTCCATGCATAAAAGAGGGCAGTTTCCCAACCCAGGAGACCACCAATATTTTGCCCACAGCTCTCGTTCTCAAGTCACTGGGCCTTCTTTTATCCTTGCTTTTACCATTGCAGTAACTCATGCATCTCTGGTATCCACTTGCCAAATTTATCTGGGGCCCGTTTCACTGCGGGTAACTGCGGCGCGCGCGCGAATGTTTCTCAAATCCTCTATATGAACTTTCCAGAATCTCTCTGGGGTCGACCTAGTCGTTTGTATCCTCGTAATATCCTCTTACGTTCGCGTTTTACAGCTGCTTGTGCCTTGATTCTGCTTTGGAGCTCTGCAATAACCCAGCAGCCGAAACCTCCTGTCCACTGCTCTTTGGATGTCCTTCAAGTCCAGACGTCTTTCTTCGAGGGCGCATGATCGTGTATCGCAGCATCTATGACGGTTTTCAAATTGTCTCAAAGCATTCTAATGTTCCTCATTATCAATCTCAATTTCTGATCCTGTTTCCTCGCTCGTCACCGGATTCTCATCCCACGTACATTACAACGCGCACCGCGTACCTCTTGAGTGAAGATCGCGGCTCGGCCGCCTTTGTGGTGGCGGCGGCACGCTCTCGCGCTTGCGGCTTTCAGGTCAGTCACAATTTCTGAGAGCAGCGGCCCACTGTCCCTGATTTCTTGCGCTTGGAAGCTGCATGGCCACGGTCCAGCACCGCGGAGGTGAGTTTTCTCTGCTGTTGTGCTACCTCAGCCTTAACGCTCAACCCACAACGTTTTCACACTGGAGTGTAACACGCCCGCCCTCTTTGTCCGCCTGCACGCAACTCCCATTTGAGGCTGGCGCACATGCTGCATACATCGCCTTGATGGAACGAAAATGGTGATAACGGGAAGAGGGTCCGGCAGGGAAGGAGGAGTGTGCAGCGTCGCGTGACTGCGTGCGAGCCGATGGTGGGACAGCGGCAGCGGTTCGATGAGTGATTCACCCGGGAGGCCAGGGATCGGGGACCTACGTGCGGTGGAAGGAAATTCAAGAAGCAATTGGACGGTTGCATCCTTACTCGAGGTGCAGGGGAATTCGGTGGCGCAGCAATCTTCCAGGTTAGACCCACTCCCGCTCCTTTTTTACCATTTCCAAGGTGTCTTCTAATCGTTATTCTATGAATAGGACGAGGCCCCCTGCATACCCAAGGAATGTGCACCGTCACCACTTCTCGCGCCAACCTCATTCGCTTGCGCATGATCTCGTCGCGCGGCACTACGTCGCATGTGGATCTCTCGCAAGTTGCGTAGCCGTGACGGCAAGAGTTAACAAGGGGGCGGCGAATCTCGATTGAGTGGGATACGGGATTCGAAGCCGCACATCCCTCGCGTTCCTCCCGCGAAGTCTGTATTCCCTCGGGAAGATCGAGAGACGTGTGATAGTATCCATACATCAAAGCGCACACTCGCTCTTCTCCCTTCCCCCCTCCCGCGCCGTCCTCGCCTCCTCTTGCCGTTTAAACTGTAGAGTAGTGCGAGCTTGCGGCAGCGTTGCACTCTTTTCATCATTCTTACTGCTGCTACGACGCCTCCGTGCACTGGACACTAACGATGGAGAGGGAGCTTCCGCTGGCTTGGCGCTGATCGTGAGGAGCGCAGCGCATTCGCAGGGTGTGAGCGGGCGAGTGCAAATGCGCATGCGGATGCAGGGTCCTGAAAAGGAGGACACGAAGGCAGCAGGTGGGATGTCCCTGACCGCGGGCCGCAGAGCGTCTGATTCGACAATTGCAAAGAATTCAATAACATGTCTCGGGATGTCTCCGCTTGACTATGTCGTGAAATCTGGAGCTAAGACCAAACGAATTGCGGTAACATTGCAGATAGAACAACTGAGCACGAATTAAATACTTGAACACCAGGAAACACGCAGTTCAGTCCCATATAATACGGATGATTGATTTGAACGTCCGCGACTGACAATTCTGAGGACCCGGGAAAGATGATTAGCCAAGCATAAGCACAGTCAGCATATTCGACCTACCAAGATTCTCACCAGCTGAGGTCCATACTGAAGTCCTGATCATCATCCTCAGCACACAAATCCTCGTCGCCCACTTCCAGCATTTATCAGCCAATTTGAACTAGGTCTTTCCGGATGGCTGACTCACCGTGGGCGAATAGAACATCAATCTCATTGGA